TTTTTTTTTTTTTTTTTTTTTTTTTTTTTTTTACAGAAATGTTTAAGAAAAAAGTATATATCTTTTGATAACAAGTTAGGAGGCAGAGTATTCTGAAGGAATGTACTTGGATTGGGGTGAAAAAGTCCTGAGTTCCATTCTAGTGCTACCATTAAGTGAAGATTTGACCTCAACAAATCACTTCATTTTTTCCTTAATTTTCCTCTCTGCAAAACAGAAATACTAATACATGTCTACTTCACATGGGGTTAAGAGGGCTAATTGGCTAGTGGATATATAAATGCTTAATATTATTATAAATTTTTGAAAGATAATCATGGCTTCATCTTCTGTAGTTCTTGCGTTTAGTCTCTTACCTGCACTGTTTTGCTTTGGTTTTGCTCTCAGAACCCAGTGTTCCTGTCACCGTGGCATATCAACGGACAGTTTTCTGAGCAGTAGCCTGCAGTGCTCACATTTTCACTAATCTGCTTTTCTGGCAAAAATTGCATAATTTGGAAAACTGCCAAATTTCATAAACATGTTCTTGAATTTCAATGCAGGGAGAGAGGAGGGAAAGAGAGAGGTAGAAAGGTATCAAAAGGTGAAAAGCCGCAGAAAGAGACAGGAGGAATGTGGTCAATTGTTTGAGGAGCAATGAAGTATAATTATGCTTATGTATGATTCTGTGGAGGTAGGGGGCAAATAATTGATTAACTGTGGGACCTGCTTCTCCTCCAGCTATGCAGGAAGGGTCTTGCCCACTTTCAGTGACTTTCTTCTTCCAGTTTTTCATGTATGCCCCTGTCTCTCTGCTCCCCTCAGCTCTCTGCATTCCTAGGGGCTCAATTTGTTCTCCATTTCTTTTAATGGAGCACCAAAGTCTTCTCCTTATCCCCAGGCCTTACAAAAGGAGACATTGCCAGTGGGTTCATTTCTTTCCCACCTCTGTCTTCCAGGCTGGAGAAGTGAATCAAGTAGGGCTTTGAAAATAAATTGATCTCTGGATTCCCTTTTTAAAAAGAAATATTCTAAGAGTGTGTGTATTAATTGTTCTCAGCAGCATAGTTTAGAATCCTGGGAGTGAGTCATGGAAAGTATGTATATGGTCATCCAGGCTACCTCTCTGCTACTGAGGGATTCTTTCTTGTAGTATTTGCTTTAAAACAGAGTCTAGGGCATTGTTACAGGTCAGTAGCAGTAGGGTTTGGGAAACTATTCCACCCAGCCTAACAAATGAGTTATTTCCACAGTTTTCTGACTATAGCACTCTCTAAATAACCCATCTGATTGTTGGAAATTAGTATCTGTGTTGCTTATAGTAATGTTTTCATTTTCATCTGTTTTTGTTTCCTCCCTCCCCTTTAGAATGAATACCACAACATCAGTGCTGAGCAAAGGTTTTTGAAAATGCTCAGAGACAAGAACTTTGTGGTCAACCTGACATAAAGAGAACTGAAGAGCAATCACTATGTTCAGCAAGAAATAATTTTATTTTTTGTACTGTATTTTTATTTTTTAAGCGCTGTGTCTGTTTATTGAGATATTTAAAAGAAACACAGAAGCCTCAAAGGTGACAGTGGCAGACAGCCCCTAACCAAGACTGAGGACAGTAACTCTTCTCTCTCATGGCATACAACCAGACTGAACTGATTTCTGTGAATTTATTTAATTATGAAAAAAACTGCAACCTTCAGCTAAAAATATCAGGGATATATAAGAATATAATGCACAACCTTTATTTAACAATAAGAATTCTTTTTTCAAATAATTTCTCTTTACTATCTTCCTTTCCTACATCATCACCCTCAAGAATTATATATGATGTCCACAGAGCTGCAAGATCCTGAGGTAATCAGTAAAGGGATACCAAGTCTTTGATTTCTCGATTTTGGGTCTGAAAATGATTTAGAATGGCAGCACTTGATAATTGTTACTGCAAAGGATAAATATGATAGTATGTGAAGGTCAGCTGTTCGCGTATTAGAAAATGCCATGATTATTCACAGAAGTCGACACTTTGTTTTTAAGGCTAGCTCAACAGCTCATAAACTGGACAGCATTCATTGAATGTATTCTGTATACACCTAGGTTGAAGACTGCATTGGCCAGAGAGTGTAAAAGTCACACTGATGCTGCTTATGCTGTATCTAATGTGCAAAGCACTGGGGTTGATAGTTCCCAGTACTTTCCATCACTGGCGATGTACAAGTGGGTAAATACTCTTTGAAAAGAATTAAGTATAATGTCCTTTAAAATGTGGAATAATTTAAATAATTTTAAAGATGGGAGTCATCTTGTCACAACTGTCAACCTGTTTCAAAAGAACCCCAAATGACAATGTTTCAGTATTCAGCACAGATGAGTGGAAATGCAGAATCATGAGTGTGCAAATTACTGTTTCTCTAAGATAATACTTACTGAATACCTTGATCCTCCTGTCAGGGGGTAGTGATACTTTTCTGTTCTCAAAGGATTAAGATACATTTTCCAAATCAGTATGATTTCCTTGCCTTGCTTCCTCTCTGCCTGCCCACAAACCTACACCTTCTTCCCCACTGTTATGGAGGGTCTCAAGGGAGCAATCGTCACCACAAGCATTTTCCATTTTTCTTGATCTTATATACAAAGGAGTTTTTGAGACCCTGCATCAAGCAATCCAGGGAATTATAGTTTAGCTTGTCAATGGCTTGATGTCCTTTGTCTTCCTCTCCCCTTTTTTTTTCCCTGATTTTTTTTTTTAAGTGTTTATTTTTAAGCAGATATTTCTGGATGTACACACATGCAGACGCAGAACTGAGAGACGGTGAGGGGGGAGCTGAAAGAAGGGTTACATTTTTTTAGAACGTCACAGTTACGTTCTTAAATTTTATTTTCATAAAGGACGCAGGCGCCTACATCTCAGTGACTTAAACTCCAAGTTCAGAAGTGATTTAGTATTTAGGCTCCATATTCATTTAAAGTCTGTCTAATGCAGTGCAGTGCAGAGATACGTTAGGTAGCTTAGGTCCTGGAATCAATTTAGCTACAGTAGCATGTTGGCCACTTGACATTTAGCTCTGCTGAGAAGTAGAAGGCCGTTATGCTACTTAACAACATGAGAGCTTACTTGTTTAGAGCTAGTTTGAATATCTCTACACAGCATAACATTGTGCCGTGTAGACCCCTGGCTGAGAAGCAGGGTAGTAGCCTGGAAACAGTGCTGAGTGAATGCAACTATCCTGCTTCCGATACTTTAGCTAGCTGTTTCAGAGATGCCTGGGGCATCTCAGTGTGGCACTTCATTATACGATATAAATAGACCTTCAAATACTCTTGAAGACTTTACTCAGGATATTTTGCTGGAACATATTTGGTTGGACAGTCAGGTCATGAATTAATTGTCTCCAATTTGTCTGTGAAAGCTTTAAGTGGTGTTAAAGTTCTGGCCTATAGGCTGAAATCAGCCCACAGAGACATGTCATTTGGCCCATAGGGTTCCCTGTGGGTTTGGCCCATAGGGTTCCCTGGAAATTTGGTGGCAGGAAAGCGATAGCAGCATTAATTGCTCTCAGAGTGTGGCAGTTAATTCTGCTACCACTCCCCCACTGTCAAATTTCTGGCCTTTGGGGAGACCTGTGGTGAGGAAGACGTGACTCCACACACAAGATGATGCCTGTGCACTGACTCTGTGCTGGATCCGGCCTGCAGACTGACCTGGCACGCAGGAATCACAGTCCAGCCCTGCATCAGTCATCTGGCCCAGGGGTGGGGGCTAGAGAGGTTGAGCATCACTGCTTTACGTGTAATCTGCATGACATACATCGCTGTCAAGATGGAATGGGAAGTAAATACCATTCTAGTCATCCCAGGTTTCTGGCAATTTATTGTTCTGTATTGGTCATTTGAGCCCATATTCTAGATAAATCACCAAGAAGTCTGCATCAGAGCTATTTTGAAAGTATGTAAAATAATCTGCTGGTGATTTTTACAATAAATGCATTGTAAAAATGCCTCTATTGCTGAGTATTCTAAAGCAGCGCATATATATATATATATATATATATATATATATATA